ATGCTAAAACCATGCTACAGTTAACTTAGCTAAAAGCTTCTAACTTTATTGGTCCATTAAGGATTGAATGGTTTGTCACGAGCCGATGATTACGAACAAGTGAAGCAAGTTTGCGAGTACTACCCGGATTATCGTGCGCTTTTCGAAGGTTCCGGCCTACAACCGGGCGAGAAGGCTCTCGAAGATAAATTCTTCGAATATGAAGTAAGTCACTAAAATTTTGTAAATTTGAAGCGAATAAGTTATTACGATTACTTAACGAATTGTCACAATTGTGCGATTCCGCATTGCAATACATTGTTGCTCGTGTTGTTTCAGGTGAAATTGAACGTCCATACATATCTGCATCAGTTTCACTTCGGTGTATTCTATGCGTTTGTGAAACTGAAGGAGCAAGAAATGCGTAATATAATTTGGATTGCCGAATGCATTTCACAGAGGCACCGAACCAAAATTGACAATTACATTCCAATTTTATAATTATAACAGTAGCAGCAACAGCAGCAGCAGCAGTCATTTCCACACTTCTTAAAAACACCGCACTTTCATTCATTCATTCATTCATTCCACAGTTTTGCAGAATCAACCTTATAAGTGTTCGTTATTGCCAGCTGCAGCAGATATGTGGTCAATGGTTGTTGTGTATTTCGCTTCACAATGCATCATTAGATAGTGTAGAAATTGCATGCCACCTCTTGCATATTCATGATAATTTCTTATCCTGTCATGTTGACTATCCTTCTCTATCTTGCTCTTTCCGAAATCATGATAATGGGAATCCTAAAAGAAGTAAAAATGATGCTCATTCGATACGCAGTAGAGTTCTCATCCGAAAGGCTGTGATAATGATAGTTTATGTGGTTGGCGCCATAGTTTTTATTTCGTGTTTTTCAGCTTCCACAGACATCTGGCAAGTCATCTTTTCTTCCTCATTTGCCGTGTGATGTAGCAGTATTTGTTCATTTTCGTAGTCGTAAATATAACTAAAGTGAACAGTGTTTTTGCAAAGCACATTGAAGCTAACAACATACCCTGAAACCTGGCAAGCTAACAACATATCTTGGCAATATCCTGAAACTTCAAAATATTGCCAACTTGATGAAGATCAGTGGTACTGTCTCAACAATGAATAGGAATATACGTGTATAAAGCAAGCGCATACAGACAGCTGTTCCTTTTCTTTTACCGCGAAAGGGAATCACTGAAATTGTCTATAACAGCAAGAAACTGATTAAGGAAGCGTGAAAAACAGTTAAAAATTAATTTTGGGCCTCAAAAACGAATTTAGGCCAACATTTACCTCCTCCGGAAAAAAAAGAGAAAAACAGCTGATGAGTGATAAATTGCAACGAAAAAGCAAATAAATGGGCTCGTTGAAATTTATAAGAAAATGGGATTGGTTCTGTCCGGCACCGGGTTGCTAAAAGGGAAAACGTTGCAACGGCTAGGGTTTCTAAATTTTCTGGAGGCAACAACGCAGGCATAGATCACTGCTGGCACAGTTTTTTTTAGCAAAACACGTAAGAAACAAATGCTTTGGGTAAAACGGCTTATTTTTTAATGATACTTTTTTTTGGTGAAACACGTAAAAAACAAATGCTTTGAGTAAAACAACTTGTTTTTTAACAATAACTGCAGTTTCCCGGGGCTTGTCAGAATGCGCCATTTTGCTTCACGGACCTGCAACTGGTGTCATGGCGCTCATCGTTGGTTTAATTTTCACGTAAACAAAAGTTATTTGCTAGTGCAGGATCTGCATAGATCACAAGCTCAAGGAAGTCATGGTGTTTCGGCTCAGAGCATGCCAGGGTGGTTTTCGCAAGCTGATTCTAAATTGCAGTATTTTTTGCTGGAATGGCCTAGCACCAAAAGGTCGTTTCTCAAAAGCCATTGATCCTTTCAGCACTTCGCCCTATAGGCAGAACTAAGGCCAGTTTTGCCCAGATGTAGCTGCAAGAAGATGCCACTATGGTGCCAGAGAAAACATCCACATTGTCGATTTATCATGCCGATTTTTAAACTCTGCTTTTTTCAAAAGCCATTGAGAAGTACGCTTTCCCTCCCTCCTTAGGCATATTCAGGGCGGTTTGCTGGAGGGAGGGGGAGGGTTTGGGTGATTCCCCTTCCCCGTCGCTGGTCGGCCGTAAACTGCAACAGCGACGAAGGGCAAGGGGTTGGGGTGGGAAAGAAGCGGAGCCTTTGGATGGGGGAGGAGGAAGGGAAGACAGGGAGTATCGAAGAGTTTTCTGCAGTAAAACAACTGGTACCTATGCCCTTAGGGGAGAGGGGAAGGGATTGGGGTGAGGGGGAGAGGTGGGGTGAAACACTCCTCATCACCCTCCACCCCCTCGATCCATTAATGCCTCTCTCCTTCCTATATTATACTAGTATTACGCTGATGTAATGTTATTATTGTTGTATTCTCATTATAAAATTTTGCTGGTATATTATCTTATTATATTGTTATATTACTATTACTATGCTGATATTACTATATCATTAGTATCATTTTCACCATTATATTATCGTTATTATTATTGTTATCGTAATTGTTATTTGTTGCTATCAATATTACCATCATTATTATTGGTATCGCTACTATTGTCACTGCTATTATTGTTGTTATTATTAATAGTGCTGCCATCACCATCACCACTGTCACTATTATTATTGCCAATATTATTATTGTTATTATCAAAATCACCATCATCATTATTACTATCATTATTATTACTATTATTATTATCATTATCATCATTATTATTACTATTATTACTACTATTATTATTACTATTATTATTACCATTATTATTACTATTATTATTACTATTATTATTGCTATTATTATTACTATTATTATTATTACTATTGTTATTATTATCATTATTATTATTGCTATTGTGCATTTTTGCATAGTGGCCGAAGTTCGCTTGTCCATGCGCTTGTGCATATGTTTGCCTATGAGAATAATTTGGCTCCAGAACTGCTAAAAGCGGAGATCCTGAGATTAGGACGTAGGCCTCGAGCGTTTGTTGGGTCACAGCCCCAAAAACAACTTCTATCGTCATCGTATTCTGTCCTGTGATTCCATTTTCCAATTAGGTTAAGTTTTTTTTTTTCCAGAGAGTAAACAGTAAGTGCAAGCTTTTTCATTATTCAGGAATTAAATCTCATTTTATGGAGTTGCGTTCCAAGTTACTATTCAGTTTCATTAGCAACCTGAAATTAGTCGCCAGAGTTTCTTGGGTTACTTCAAACTTTCCTGATGCTGACGCCTCGGATCCGAATCTGAACTAATTCTATACTTTCAAAACGGAGCAAGTGAAAAGCCTAAAATCATGGGCTTATAAGTCACTGCGCATAATGAAATAAACACCAACGGAGCATTTTCTAAATTCCGCTGTCTTTTTGAAATCTGACTCAAACTTCAACTTCAAGAAAATTTATAATGTGAAAACGGTCATCGAAATCAGAACTTTCGAATAAAATTCGTTGTATGATAAGGACAGGGCTGCTGAGGTCCAGAATAAAAACCTTCCTGTGCGCTGGCTTGCTAAGATAGCTCCGCTGCCAAGTAATCTTTGAACGTGGGAACCTATGTTTTTTTTTTAATATGTGCTAGTATGCTCATTCTTTCAAGTTTTCATAAAAACTCGATAATTGGGCCAATCCAATGCCACGTATCGAATTTTAACAAGATCAAGATCCCTTAGAAAATGAATATCAAGTTCCCAATTTAGTGATTGCTGCTGAGATGCTCACACATTTTTGGCGTAGCTCTGCCTGGCGCTTTTATTCCACTCCGCGTATCTCCAGATAATATCCATTGTCTTTTATGTTATCAGTGATTTTAACTACGAAAGCCTGGGTGAGCAGGAAGCCATTTCCGAAGTCAGAGTCAAAACTCCCTCTGCATTCATTTTCTGCTAGAGCAAAAGCACTCGGCAACTGGTTTGAGTGGTAGCCACGTGGCAACAGTAACCGATCGCTAGCAAGACTGTAACGATGATTTGTTCTTTCGAGGGTTACTTGGAAACAAGCTGATGATGGTTTTGTGTTTCAGATGCCAGCACCAATTTACCACCGAAACGAATGAACTAGTAGTAAAAAAATAGGTTGCCTAGTTTTACCAAGTGCCTTCTTAAAAGTTATCAACGTGTGACTACAAACAGTAAACTTTTTACTTCGAAATCAACATATAATATACCAAACAGTAATGCAACGGATACTTTTAACGGCAAGGTTTCCCTAAACAGAGTTGGTACAAGTGTTAACTGGACAGAGTTGCAAAAGCGTTCAACGGACGGAACTGCACAAACGTTCACTGGACAGGGCTGCACAAAACACATGATCACACCAGCCACATTGATGCGCGCTGCTATTTTTTAGCATTTGCGCTGGCTCTAACTATGACTCCAGCAACGTAAGTGCATTCCGTTAATGCTGTGTTTGTGAGGCAAAAGCATGTAAACTGGAGGGATTCGATCGATAGCAGTGAGGGGAACAGGCTTCATTCTAGTGCAGGCCGTTTCATCCCTCACTTTCTAAACACCACAGATTAGACGTTTGACTAAGTCCAAGTTTTTTATATCCCTCCAAAAAAAGTGTGTCCAATTTTTATGCGTTTTTTGCATCTATGCAATGCAAAAACGAGGGGCTTGAAATTGTTGTGCAGTTCAACTGCGCGAAAACTGCGGACAAAATGAGTGATGCAGTATAACTTTCTTGATCTAGTTAAGTAGTTGACAAAATGCTTGATGAGCTTTCCATAATGTTAATTAAATATGATTAAATAATGCTTGAAGAAGCGCCTTATGTCTCATTTGACACATTCAGTTCGTTTATTTTTTAATTATATGCTTATTTAATTGCACTGTGTTTAAAGTTGTTTTTTTTTTTTTGATTATCTGCTATTGTGCCTCGGAACAGTTAAAACAGAGACTTACCTAGTCTTTCAGTCTTTTCAGCCCTCTTGTCCTCATTTCCACCTCGTCCATTTCGGCTCTGCTTAGCAAGATGTACGTAAATAAGTAAACTTTTTTAAAAATTGAAATTTGAATAGTTCCCCAAATGGTTAACTGTGAACCACATCAATCACGCCTGAGCATCTTCCACATCCCACAATCCATGTGAGGTTGAAACATTCGGATGGTGTTCGGACAATAGAACACTGCGAGCAGCAATGATCGCTGGCAGGGCTATCGATGGCATTCTCTTTCGAGCACATAGAACCGTAAGTTGAAGTCATTGCACTTTTTATCACTATCATCTGCCTGTCGTTGATGAAGTACCACAGTGCCATCCAACAAATCTGATAAGTTTCACCAGTCGGCTGTCAAAAATGCCAAAACCCTTCTGTATCCGCTCTCTGTGAGAAGTGCAGATAATCAGGAAGCAGCACGAGTGGAAACAAGTGCTAACAGTACGCGCTAGTTGGCAAGCTGTCTGTAACACCCTCAAGCCAACAATGGCGGGTTCGA